CAATCTCCTTTTCCTTTCCCCTCCCCACAACAGACACCCTGTGAGGTAGGTGGGGCTGAGAGAGCTCTGAGAGAACTGCTCTTGAGAGAACAGCACTGAGAGAACTTGTGACTGGCCTAAGGTCACCCAGCTGGCTGTATGTGGAGAAGTGGGTGCTCACGACAGGATATTCTGAAGGATGTTAATTCATACGGTTACCATGAATTAGAAATGACTTGACAGTATTTCTCACACACACGCAAGCTAAGAATTTAAGCACAGATTCTCTAATAGTATTTATTTAGGTACTATAACTGGAATGAATTTATAACCGAAGAAGAGGAGAGATTGGATTTATACTTCACTTGGAGTCTCAGATCGGCTTACAAACTCCTCTCCCTTCCCCTCTCCACAGCAGACACCCTGTGAGGTCGGTGGGGCTGAGAGAGCTCTGACAGAAACTGCTCCTTTTCAAGGACAGCTCTTATCAGAACTATGGCCTGCCCAAGGTCATCCAGCAGCTGCAAGTGGAGGAGTGGGGAATCAATTCTGTGACCATCTGCTCCATAGCACAGTCATTTAGAGTGTCTAGAAACTCAATCTCTTTTTCCCGGCTAGAACACATATTGACCCAATCAATGTGTGGGTAGTTAAAATCACCTATTATTACACAGTGTTTTTGTCTAGTTGCTATCTTTAAGGCATTCATCATTTTATAATCCTCCTCTATCTTTTGATCTGGTGGGCGATAACAAACTCCCAGTGTTAAGTTTCCTTTTGGCCCCCCTATTTCAACCCATAGAACTTCCAGAAGCGAATCCAATTCACTTAGCCTCTCAATCTTTCTAGACTTTATACCCTCTCTGACATACAGAGCTACCCCACCTCCAAATTAGTTTGCACTGGAACCATCCTTCCTGAGCTAAGACAAAAACGTGAGCCGGAGGCTAAAAAACTGTGAGCTAGCTCACACTAACTCAGCTTAGAGGGAACACTGGCTGAGATAACTGCTTTTGAGAGAACAGCGCTGACAGAACTTGTGACTGGCCCAAGGTCCCCCAGCTGGCTGCATGTGGAGAAGTGGGTGCTCATGATAGGATATTCTGAAGGATGTTAATTCATATGGTTACCATGAATTAGAAATGACTTGACGGTATTTCACACACACACGAGCTAAGAATTTAAGCACAGATTCTCTAATAGTATTTACTTAGGTACTATACCTGGAATGAATTTATAACCGAAGAAGAGGAGAGATTGGATTTATACCCCGCCCTTCACTTGGAGTCTCAGATCGGCTTACAAACTCCTCTCCCTTCCCCTCTCCACAGCAGACACCCTGTGAGGTCGGTGGGGCTGAGAGAACTCTGACAGAAACTGCTCCTTTTCAAGGACAGCTCTTATCAGAACTATGGCCTGCCCAAGGTCATCCAGCAGCTGCAAGTAGAGGAGTGGGGAATCAACCCCGGTTCACCCAGATTAGAGTCCGCACATTTAACCACCACGCCAAATTGAGAAGGATGTAAACCCCTTTTGGGTCAGACTGGAGATGACATAAAAATAACGGCAGCCCCACTTGGAAAGTTTTTGCCCTACAAGCGACAAAATCCTGGCAAGGGGCCTGTGCTGGAGCGTCATTCTAAACCAGCTTTGAGAATTCAAGGCGGTTCCGTAAAAGGAATCGCTGGTACCGCTTTCATTCGCTCTGACCCTCTTTCAGAGTCAGCACAAACCCATCTACCACCAGAGAATCTGCTTTCCTCAGAGCCGCGGGGGGGAAAAAAGAGGGACTTCCCGCGACAGGAAATTGCTTTGCTTAAAATTCCACACCCTGTAGCTGTCTCAGCAGTGTCGAGGTGCCTCCCTCCACCTTCGCCCCCACCCACTCCCGAGAAGCCGAACGGGCGCCCTCCAAGCCAGGATCGTCCACAAAAACCACACCTCTCAAATTATATACATAGGTGACTTTATTTATACATCGCGCACACGTATCCATGCACACAGAGGAACTATTCAGAGCATATCTTTGCACTGCCCTGCGGGCAGAGGGGTGGGGAAGTAATGCGTTCTGCGGCTCAGGGCTGAAGTCACACGGCGGGGCAGCTAAGCGGAGCACTGCTGACCCGGGAGGAAACCAAATGAGGAAGTTACGGCTGAAGGGAGGAACAGTGCCATGACTGCTTTTGCCCCCTCTCCTGGCCGTGACCTTCCTCTCTGCTTATTCCAACTACCCGGTTAAAAGGACCAGGCAGGAGGAGATGAGAAAGACCCTGACCTGAGACCCTGGCTCAGTGGCAGAGCCTCTGCTTGGCATGCAGAAGGTCCAGGTTCAATCCCCGGCATCTCCAGTTAAAAGGACCAGGCAGGGGGTGATGGGAAAGACCTTGACCTGAGACCCTGGCTCAGTGGCAGAGCCTCTGCTGGGCATGCAGAAGCTCCCAGGTTCAGTCCCCGGCATCTCCAGCTAAAAGGACCAGGCAGGAGGGGATGAGAAAGACCATGACTTAGATCCTGGCTCAGTGGCAGAGCCTCTGCTGGGCATGCAGGAGGTCCCAGGTTCTAGTCCCCAGCATCTCCAGTTCAAATGACGAGGCAGGAGGAGATGGGAAAGACCTTGACCTGAGACCCTGACTCAGTGGAGGAGCCTCTGCTTGGCCTGCAGAAGGTCCCAGGTTCAATCCCCGGCATCTCCAGTTAAAAGGACCAGGCAGGAGGAGATGAGAACGACCTTGACCCGAGACCCTAGTTCAGCGGTAGAGCTTCTGCTTGGCATGCAGAAGGTCCCAGGTTCAATCCCCGGCATCTCCAGCTAAAAGGACCGGGCAGGAGGTGATGGGAAATAGTGCAGCCTGAGATCCTGGAGGGCTGCTTCCAGTCGAAGTAGACAATATTGACTTTGATGGACCAAGGGTCTGATTCAGTAGAAGGCAGATTCATGTGTCATCAAGTGGCGTAGAAGTTTGTGAGCTGCAATAAAGGGTGAGAAACGATGGCTGAGGGGGTGACACGATCGAGGTTTACAAGATTATGCATGGGATAGAGCAGGTGGAGAAAGAAGTCCTTTTCTCCCTTTCTCACAAGACAAGAACTCGTCGGCACTCCGTGGAATTGCTGAGCAGTCGGGTTAGAAGGGATAAAAGGAAGTCCTCCTTCACCCAGAGAGTGATGAACACATGGAATTCACTGCCACAGGAGGTGGTGGCGGCTACAAGCATGGACGCCTTCAAGAGGGAATTAGATAAGCATCTGAAGCAGGGGTCCATCGGTGGCTACTATCTACAAGGTATAGATAGGAACTCTCAGCCTGGGGCAAAGTCTGGGGCAAGGGATGCTCTGTCTTCTTGGTGCTTGGGGGGGGGCAACAGTGGGAGGGCTTCTGGTGTCCTGGCCCCACTGCTGGACCTCCTGAGGACACCTGGTATTTTTGACCACTGTGTGACAGAGTGTTGGACTGGAGGGGCCATTGGCCTGATCCAACACTGGCTTCTCTTTATGTTCTTATGAAACATACATTTGATCGCTTCGCAGGCTCAGATCTACAACGGGCACCAAATCCCTAGCCATGGCTTGCGACCCACAAGTTTGGAGACGTCACCAAACTTTTGATCCCCGTATTTTCCCAGCCTAAGGGCTGCGGACTGGCTTCTTTACATCAATGAAAACAAGAGCTTCTCGAGAAGCTGCGTTCCATGACCGGAATCCATTCCATGCCTGCACGGTACAATCGTGGCCTGTATCGGGGAGTCCCGGAACTTTTTGAGGCTGCGGGCACCTTTGGAATTTTGATGGGGGTGAGCACCAACCCTAAACGGCCGCCACGGGGAGTGCAGCCAAACCCAAAATGGCCACCCGGGGGTGGTGGAGCCAAATGGAATAGTTCCCTCCTCACACCTGCTGAGCAAAAGGAAATCCCGAAGGTGGAATGGAACCACACACCCAGGTGCTCATCAATCCACTTCAGCTGAATGAGGGCAGCCAATCACAAGCCCTACCTTACGATGGCCCCGCCCACTTCCTCGAAAGCTCAGCAGGCGCCAAGGGAAGTACTGGTGGGTGCGACCGTGCCCACCGGCACCAGGTTGGGGAACCCTGGCCTATGTGCAGCTTTTGCCCTTAGCTCACCACCTAGAATCATAGAGTTGGAGGTCTCCCTAGAGGCCATCTAGTCCCACCCCCTGCTCCATGCAGGACCACACTAGAGCATCCCTGACAAGTGTTTCTCCAGCCGCTGCTCGAAGACTGCCAGGGAGGGGGAGCTCACCACCTCCCAAGGCAGCCGATTCCACTGTTGAACAACTGTTACTGGGAAAAAGTGTTTCCTAAGATCCAGCCGGTACCTTCCCACCCTTAATTTAAACCCATTATGGCGTGTCCTCTCCTCTGCTGCCTACAAGAACAGCTCCCTGCCCTCCTCTACGTGACAGCCTTTCAGATACTGCAAGAGAGCAATCATGTCCGTCCCCCCCAACCTCCTCTTCTCCAGACTGTGACTGAACATCCCCAAGTCCCTCAGCCTTTCCTCGTAGGGCTCGGCCTCCAGGCCCCTGATCATCCTCGTCACTCTCTTCTGCACCCACTTCGTTCTGCCCAAATCCTTTTTGCAGTGTGGCCTCCAGAACGGCACACAGTGCTCCAGGTGCACCACGACCAATGCAGTGTATAGTGGGATTATGACGTCCTGTAATTTGGATATTATGCCTCTGTTGATATACCCCAAGAGTGTATTAGCCTTTTTTGCCGCTGCATCACACTGACGGTTCGTATTTAGCTTACAGTCCACCCAGACCCCAAGGTCTTGTTCCCACACCCATCTACCTAGATGTGAGCCCCCCATTCAGCATGTGTGCTTCGCATTTTTGCTACTCAGATGTAGAACTCTGCACTTATTCACTTTGAATTGCATCTCATTCACATCCGCCCACTTTCCCCACTTTCCCGGTGTGTACGGATCTCGCTGAATCCTTAGCCCTTGAGAGGGCGTTCGGATTCGAGGAATAAAAGGAAGAGGCCAATCAGCGGATGGATGCATACTTAGTTTATTGCGCTCGGAAAAACGTTTGATTTGCTCGGAAAAACATTTGATTTGCTAGTCAGGACGCCAGAGCGGTTTCCTGATCTACTAAAGAATCTCACATTCTCGGTCTTTCAGTGACACTTTGCCTAATACCTCCCGCGTTCGTGACAGCCCATTAAAGCCGGAAAGAGGCTAGGGAGACAAAGACAAACCCACAAACATCAAGCAGCGGAACAGTAACTGGTTGGAGGACAAGCCCCAACTGTGAAATAAAAGAATAATGGCGATGTGGCGTGGTCAGTTAGGAGAGGAAGAAATCAACCTCTGTAGTATAGCGTAAAAATCGCCACAGCAATCTGGTTTGAAAATTAAGGTGTTTGTGGGGGGAACTAAAGCTGCACACTGGGGAATGTGCGATTCGTAAGGTGACTCTCTGGACAGAAGGGAACGTCAGACATGCGCCCATGCTCGTGCATGGAAACACCAAGCCATCTTTTCGACTTGGCTTTCCTCTCTTAAGACATCCCAACCCAGGCCTGATAGGGACTGCCGCCCTCAAGAACGTGAACTCACACAGAGTCACGCTCCCCGCCACCGAGAAGTTTAAATCTCTTTTCCGCCGCCCCAGCGGTGTTCAGATTCAAAAAAGGTCAATCGAGGGATCTCACGTTCTTTGGAGAGTTGGATCGAACAGCCTCCAAGAGGCGGTCCCGGCCAGCCGCGATCACAGCTTCTTCTGGGCCACGGTCAACGCTTTCTGGAGCTGCTCTCTCGGCACCAGCTCGAAGGTTTCCAGGGCATGAACCAACTGATCTCGCGCGCAGCTGATGAAAGTGTTGCTAAGGAACGTCGGGAGGCCCCCGACACCGTCGCGCAGGGTATAGAGCGGGACGCGGACAAGGCCCATCGCCTGAAGTGACAGAGGAACAGAAATGAGTCACAAGATCCCACCCTGAACCCCCCTAAAAACAGTTTGGTTTTTTTTGCAAATAATTTTTTAGTAAATTTTTTCATAATTAACATATACAAAACATTCAACGTTACAAATTCTAACAAACAAATTACTTAAAACATTATGTTCTTAATAAAATACAAAGTCTTTATATTTTTGTGGCAATCTAAAGGTTTGTGGTTGACACGCGGTTATATATTCAAAAAAACTAAACCATTTTTTCATAAAGTTGTTCTGACTATTTGGGTTGTCTAGTGCTATCAAATGCATTGCGATTTTATCTGATACGATTGTGTCCCATATTTTAGCTCTCCATTGGGATATTGTAGGCAGTCTATGTGCTTTCCACATCTGTGCAAGTAATGTCTTGGCTGCCATCAGAAGCATTGAAATTACATCTTCTTTCTGTTTAGAAATTTTTAATCCTGGCCAAGTGTAATAAAAGGGATTCTGGGGCGTTCGGTATCTCTAGACCTGTTATAGTTTTAATTTCTTTTATAATTTTACTCCAATATTCCTGTATCTTGGGACAAGCCCACCAACAGTGTTTTAAATCTCCTATCTCCCCATATCCTTTCCAACACTGAGGTGTTGGCTTAACTTGCTTTTGAATAAACGACTAGGTGTGAGATACCCCCTAAAAACAGTTCTCAGTAACAAAACCACTTTACTTCCTCAATACATCCTGTCCCTATTTCTTTTGGATATTAGAACAAATTTAGAGTCCAGTGGCATCTTTAAACCAACAAAGGCCCCGGTCACATGGAGAATTTGCCGCGCAAAAGGCACGAATATCGGGAGGATTTTTGGGGCGTGAGCACACCACAACACCTGGGAAGCGTAGCGCACCCGTGGCCAACCTGTGGAATCCCGCCGAAGATGCAGAGTTAAAAAGCACTAGTATCCGGAAAACGTGGGGCAGGGGCGGGCGTCTGATCACGGGAGCGCTAGTATCCCGTGGCATCCGGCGCCCGTCCACATTCCATCGCAAACCGGATGTTTTTCGTAAGCGCATGCGCACAAACACGAAACTGAAAGCAGCGCTGCTCTACGGAACTGCGCATGCGCACAAATGCAAAACGCTTGTGTGATCGCGCCGTGTCGCTTCTCTGCCACGCTGCAGCATCGCCGTGTGATCGCCAGCTAACAGCTGAAGCACAGAGACTCGGGAGACCATGTGATCGGGCTACCACGCTTTATTTTGCTCCGGGGAGAACAGCCACGCCTCCACCCCCCCTTCCCGTGTTAACTGGCCCATGTGACCGGAGCCAAAGGTTTATTTAAGGTATGAGCTTTCGTTTGCGTGCACACTTTTTCAAATAGTTGCTGATTATGTATTTAAAATATTCTATATTACCATGTTTCCCCGAAAATAAGACAGTGTCTTATATTAATTTTTGCTCCCAAAGATGCACTAGGTCTTATTTTCAGGGGATGTCTTATTAAGAAGAATACGGTACACTCCGTCAGGGCAGAGTGAGCAGCAGGCGGCAGCTTGTCCTGGCGGCGGCGCGGGCTCTCTGATTAAAAGAGACCTCGCACTTCCTGTCTACTCCGGGGGGTCTTATTTTCAGGGAGGTCTTATTTTCGGGGGATGTCTTACTTTCGGGGAAACACGGTACATATGTTATGTATTGGGATTGACTGGCTGAGCTTGGAGCACAAGAACAATAGCCGACCAGGACTCTGGAATAAACCAGTCAAGTAATAATGTTATGTGAATAGCTTATGGCTGGGAGTGGGGTGTATTTGGGTGTGGCAACTGCATGCCATTTAGCCAGAGCTGAAATCACTGAATAAACCTCAGCTGATCACTGTCATGCGTCTAGAGCCCAGTACTTAACAATATATTTGATTAAATATCTGAAATGTGCGTGCGCACAAAAACTCATACCTTGAATAAACCTTTGTTGGCCTAAAAGGTGCCGCTGGACTCTTAAATGTGTTCTCCTGCTTCAGACCAACAGGTGTTGCAACTCTTCAGGCAAGAGGATCTGGGAGGGTAGGGGTTAAGAGAATTCTCTCATTCAGGTACCCTTGGTGTTGGCCGCCTTCTCATCGGTGAGAAGGTTGAGCCTCTTTGACTCTCGCTTGCCTTCTGTGTTGCATCTTATAGGGGACCACTCTTCTTCGCTCTCGTACCCGGGGCTTGGAGCCGTTGCGAGTTAACCTTTTTTGAAGTTAATCTGTTCACAAGAAGTAAAATGTCCCTACATGTACTCAGGGGTCATTTCCTGCAGGAGCGCACAGGAGCAGAGCTCTGGCAATAAAGAGCCCAGGGGGCAGGCACATGCAAGAAGCCCCACCCCCTGCTCCCAGCAGCCCTCAGTCAGAGCAAGAAGCAGCCAGGTAAGTTGCAGAGGACCTCCCCCCGGTCCCCCGGTCCAAAATAGTCCAGTGGCACTTTTAAGACCAAGTTTTATTCAGGTACAAGCTCTCCCTTCTC